TGTACTCTGCTGCACACTCTGGGCGCATTCCAGAGCCCACCTCCCACCCGTGCTTCAGTGCTGCTTGGCTGATCTTCCCCATTTCCTCGTCCTTGGGTGCAAGAGGCACGTCCCTGCGTTGCCTCTCCAGGTCCTCGTGCTTGGCTGGCTAATGCTAGGGTGACCAAGGGCCTTAGTGGAGAGAACTCTAGCTTTGGCAGCAGCCACATGGAGTTGAAATCCACTTGTGCCACCCACGACCTTCACCTCTTGGGGCCTCAGTTTCCTCTTTGGTAGCGCACAATAGCAACGGCTACTACCATAGCTGTGAAGAGTCATCGGGATTGCAGGTGAAAGATTCCAGGCCAGAACCAGGGTAGAAAATGTCCAGACTGGCCTAATAGTGAGCCGATTTGTTCCGAAAAACACTGTCAGGGACACCATCCCTTCTATTGCCATTTCCTGGACCTCCAAGCTGCCCTCTGGGATTTTGCTGGTGCTTTTGGCTGCTCTGGTCTTGCCCACTACCTGTCCGGGTTCAGTATGTGGAAAGAGGCCAAGCTCAGCCCTGAGCTTCCATAATGTCGGAGAAGAAAGAATTCCAAGAGCATCTGGCTGTCATAAGCCCAGTGACTGCCCCTCGACACCTCTACAGACCTGCCTTGCCCTTCTCGGCACTGCCCTGTCAGGCGTCCTGGTAGATGTGCGCTGGCTCTGGGCTCCTGGGGAACTGGCTGCTCCTTGTCCTCAGTGTCCAAAGACAGAGGCTCATAGTTGCTGGCTGAAGCTTCCCTGGGGCCTCCCTGCCACAATCCACCGCTGAGTGTTTGTCTGGGGAGTCATGGTGAGTGAAGGCAGGCACATCTGGCTGCGAGTTCACCAGATTTGACAAAGGCCTAAAACTTAAAGTCTCTGGATCTGGGATTCCTTCCACGTCACGTGAGAAGGCAAGAGGCCTGCTCCTGGGATTTCCTAGGTAAAACACCTAGCGGAGCTGGGGTTCAGGATGCACTTGGCAGTGTTGGAACAGGAAAAAGAAAAACTGGGGTACACGTTTCTCATTGTGGATGCGGGGCTTCTTGAAGGGGAATAATTTCCAAGTGCTGTGGTTCATACTGGTGCTGACTTTGTGATTATGGGCTATGATTGACCAAAAAGTACTGGGATTGACTAATGATGACCTTCCTGTTACAGGGCTCAGGGAGGGCTGCCGGGGGCCTCTGGGCTGAAAGGCATGGAAACTGGCTCTTGTTTCCTGCCTTGCTATATTTCCCCAGACCTTATCCTCCCTGGCTATAGGTGGACTGTGATTTCTTGGGTTTCTTTTAACCCTCCACAAACACAGACACATCTGTCTAAGGAAACTGAAGAAAACGCATCTTAGAATGCAGATGTACTACAAGGGCTCTGTGAAAAAGAAAGGCAGAAATGGACTCGGAGAACCAGTCTCTCCCCAGATCCCTGCAGGAAGCTAGAGGATCACAGAGGAAGCTGGCCTGTGGGAAAGAGCTTCCTGGGAACAGGGGAGCCCTGGGCCTGGAGGTGCGGCAGCAGAGGCTGGGCATTTGGTTCACTGTCCTCTGAGATCTGCCCTGAGTTGGGTCCTGTGCTGGAGGAGGTCCGGAAGTAGTGCAGATCATATTCAAGTGCGAGATCAGTCATGATTTAGAGCAGAGGTCATCAAATTACAGGACACTGGCCGCATCCAGCCTGCTGCCTGATCTTGCAGATAAGTTTTTATTGAAACACAGCTGTGCTCACTTTTAACTTCTTGTGTGTGGTGGCTTCTGCCGTACAGTGGCAGAACTGAATAATGTGACAGACTGGCCCCATAAGCCTAAAATATCTACCTGCTGGTCCTTTACAGAGGAAGTTTGCTGATCTCCACTCTAGAAGGCTGTTTAGGGGAAGCCCTGACAAAGACTGGAGGTGATAAGGGCAGGCTGTTTGGGAGAGGAGATAGCTGTGTGTTGATGGACAGAAGGCAGTGTTTGAAGAAAGGGCTTTCAGGCCCTGAGCACCGTGTGGTGTGGTGGTGTAAATGGTACTGAGTGCACAGGGACTCACCAGCTGTCGAGGCGGGGTCAGATTGGGAAGTGTGGAGACTGAAAGTGGGGAGAAGGGAACATGTTGGGGAGAGGCACCATCCAGGTGGCCCCTGATGTCACATCCAGCCCCAAGGTCATTCAAAGGGTAGACTTTAGAGTTCTGGCCTCCCGAAGGCCTGGTAAGATATGCTGTGCTGAGGTATCTTCCTTTTGGGTGAAAAGAGACCACCCTTGCCATTTCTGGGCCACCTGTTCTGGAACTACCTTCTCCACTGGAATAATTACCTCTCACTGAAATCACCCTCCCCTTTTCCAGTGATGAGGAAACTGAGGGCAAGAAACAGACAGTGGTTTGCTTGAGGGCACGCAGCAGAACATAGCATAGCAAAGACTCAAACCCGGGCCTCCCACCCTCCTGCCAGGGTTTTCTGTCTCCCAAGCTGCCCTGTCACAGGTCCTGGACCTTCAGCCCAGGTCTGGGGTAGGCAGTGTGTAAAATGAAAACAGATTTGCTTCAGAGGAGACCAACAGGACGCAGGGAGTCAAGGCTGGGGTTCCCAGGCCACCCCTGCTCACTCCCAGAAGCCCTGTCAGGACAGCTGCCCTTGCTCTGCCTGGCCTCCTGTTAGCACTGGGCGCTCAGGAAGGAGCTGGGGCTCAGGGATACATAGAGCAATCATAATGGGGAGCCTAAGGACATAGCCTTCCCTTGTCTTTGACCCTGAGACTTTTAGGGTAACAAAGACTGCTGGGGTTCCCAGGCCACCCCTGCTCACTCCCAGAAGCCCTGTCAGGACAGCTGCCCTTGCTCTGCCTGGCCTCCTGTTAGCACTGGGCGCTCAGGAAGGAGCTGGGGCTCAGGGATACATAGAGCAATCATAATGGGGAGCCTAAGGACATAGCCTTCCCTTGTCTTTGACCCTGAGACTTTTAGGGTAACAAAGACTCTTGGGCTGGAACCAGTACCCACAGTCTTGTCCAAGCACTGCTACCTGCCGTGAGGTCTCAGCCTGCTGCATTCCTGGTGTGGGCATAGAATACGCCATTTCTTTCACTTCTCTTTAATACTCAAACTATGAAATCAGCCGTAACGGCCACTCACGAGTATCTGCTGTGTGCCAGGTTCTCTGTAGCTGGTTTCTCCAACATTGTAACTTCTCATCAGTCCTCATGGCCCTTCGTTTCCTTCTTCCCATTCTAGAGATAAGAAGGGGGGGGGCAAGTAACAGCCCCAAGATCTTACAGAAGGAAGGAGGCCCTCCTGGGATCCGAACCCTGGTGTAGAAACAGGTCTCCCCTGCAGGACCTCAGGAAGGCCTCTGGGGCGGGGACTGCCCACAGGTCCTTGGTCACCACTGTGAGCATAAGATACCTCATTGATCTTGTGATTAGTCACAAAGTAATCAGGTACTTTCAGGTTCGTGATCACCAGCTCCTGGGTGCTTCTGGATGGGCTTTGACTTCTAGTATGGATGGAGCGGGGGAGAGGCAGGTAAAGGAGACTGAGAAATGGCTGGTGGGACTCAAGGGGCTGAGGGAAAGCTGCTTGGAGGTGGTGACAATGCAGGTGAGCTTGGAGGGGACAGAAAGGTGTGTGTTGGACCCGTTGCCCTTGCTGGAGTCGAGCTGCCGGACTAGAGGGACACAGCCAGGGGCTGCCTGTCTTTACGTGGTGCTTTTTCTCTGCTCGGTGAGGTACTCCGTGGCCCCGTGGTGCTGTAGGAGGAGGTCATGTGGCCTGGCGTTTCGAGTGGTGCATTCTGGTCACTCTGGCCACCTGACTGCATGTGCGTCTTAGAAAAGCCTCCTGCGCCCCTCTGACCCCTCGTACCCGTCTCCTTGCCTCACAGCCAAGAAGACGTGTGCGGACAGCGACTTCACCTGCGACAACGGCCAC